GTAAAGAATTGTGTGATGAAAGAATATAGACCTGAAGTGCATTCCTTAGAGAATGAAGCTTAGAAGTGGCCAGGTAGCAGAGCAGAACTTACACTTTAATATTGTCAGGTGCGGTAGCTGACTTGATAGCTTGGTAGCTGAAAGCATGATTTCCTGAGTTTTCTTTAACAATATTTATTAAAAGGCTAAGGGATAGTTATACAAATCTCAGGAACTGGATTACTTTCGCTTTAAATCATACAGTTCATTAAGGTGGGAACTTGATAACAACTTCCTTGTTTTTAGATATGAACTTTAATAACAACTTCCTTGTTTTTAGATATGAACTTTAATGTGAACCAGAGAGCTGGCTATTTTCTTGCCAGATAACTGAGGAATTTGCAGGTGGATGGTGCTTTTTCAACCGGTTTTTAAAAATATCTTCTGAACAGACTATAACACTTAACTTCCATTCCGATGGGCTGGATTCTCACAATTGGCTGAAATGGGGTGAATTGGAGCTTAGCAAGGGGAAGCCTGGCTAGTATTTGGATAGGAGACTTCCAGGCAACGCCAGGGTTGTAGGCTAGTCTAGGAAATCAAAACAAAACAAAATCCTGGAAGAAAACAGTGGCAAGCCACTTCTGTGTGGTTACCAATATTTATGAAGTTATCAGGAGTTCGATTTGACTTAGAAGGAAATTTTGCCATTAGTTTGCAGTCCAGTATATTGGGGAATCCAGCCATTGTCTCAACAGTAGTATTTAAACTTGGCCATCCTGTTAAGGCATTATTTCTTTGTTCTATGAATATAGCATCTATGTTCTGTTAAGCTGGCTGAGCATGTTGCATGAACTTAGCGTTTACAGAAGGGGAGAAAATAACAAACACAAGTTTCTCCTTACCTGAGGAACACCCCAGGAAAAAGTTGTGAATGATGCCAAAAGGTAGAGGGCCAGAGCAGCATTCGCCCACCTGTGCAGTCGCTAAAAACAGTCAAGAAGACATTGTGTGAAGACCTCCATGACTGAGCATTAAAACAAGTGCTTCGCTTTTCAACAACCACATTGCATTTTATGGTGTCTACTTTGCTCCTATGGGCAATATCTATCTCCTTTCTCCTTAATAAGAGTTTATGGGCCTTAAGGGTCTTAGCAAGGGTCAGCCCTTCAAGGTTGTCCAGATAAGGAAAGAGCCTCCACAAGAAGACTAGAACGAAACTTTATCTGGCAAGTCTGATTGTGCTTTTCGTCCCCTCCCTGTTATACCCAATGAGTCAGGGAGGAGCCAGCCTGTATCTCTTTCTAATATTACCTTCTTTCCCAGGGCTTAAGAAATGCTTCTGCCCATTTTGTTTATGTAATGGTTTCAGAGTATTTCCTTCAAGACCATCTCCGTTGCTCTCTACAGCAAGCGATCTTCTTATCTTCCATTCTTTTCTCTGCATAGTTATTGCTAACTTGAGTTTGGCTCTTGACAGGCTCATGACAGACTTTATTAGCATTTCTACCATTCAAATCAACTAGTTTCCATTCTGATAGCCAGGACAACATTCTTCTGCAACTTGGCATTCTCCAAGTATGTGAGATTTCAGCTCTCACAATCCAAGCCTGCAGTTATCATGTTTTTCTTGGCTGAAAGTATTTTTAGCAATCATGGCTGGACTTTAAAAAGGAGATCAGGAACACTGGTTGTCCATTCTTGGCAGAGAGACTTCTTGTGATAAAGGCATAAAGTGGAAGAGAAAAACACCAGGGGTCGTGTTCACTCTAATATGAAACCTTCTAGCTCTAATCTTAAGATGCATTTTGCAAGAAATTCTGAAATAGTTTCATACTGAAGGTTCTACAAATTATTAACTTGAAGCATTGTTATTGCAATTATGATCTTGAAGCAAAACACCGCTTGAAGCATAGCCACATCCAGAAAAGAACTAATCATTAAGATTATGATCTTAAACACACTTCCTTGTGCATAAAATCCATTGAAGATAATGAAACTTACGCCTGAGCAAATATGTTTAAGATTGTGTTTAAATTAAATGAATAACAGTAATACACATAATAACCATATGCATATTTATTTGAAAAGTAGCTATATGCATGCATGTCTGTGTATGAACATAACCCAGGGAAATTTTAAGTATCTTTATGCCCATGTGCTTAATTTAGCAGTATTTTAGTTGCATTTCTAAGAATGTACCTGGAAATAAACCTTATTGAACATAATGGGCTTACTTCTAATAAATGCAGCTCAGATTGTGGAGTTAAAGTTGTTTCATTGTGGCTGAACTGTGCCCTATTCATATATATATAGAGAGAGAGAGAGAGAGACAGACAGACAGACACACATCATACAGTATATAATTGGGAGCTCATCGAACAATACTGAATCAAAACACACATTTTTAAGAAAATGATTTTCTACTCAAGAGAGACTTTAAAGAGTGCAAAGTTTAATTAACATAGATTTTCAAAAAAATCAGAGACATCAACATCTTGTCCCTTGAAATGTAAGCATTTTTGTGGTTTCAGAATCTAGCCATGTGACTGATCCAGACAATGATTAATTCTAGACGAGCTAGATATTTAAGTGCAGTACTTCACACCACAATTTTCATCCAGTTTTCCCTTTCATAGCTGTCACCCTATTTAAACATGTAAACAGAGATTTCATGTTAAAATCCAGTTTAGATTAGTTTTTGACCAAGAGATAGACAAGAATATCTAGAAGTAACTCTTGCAGAATTCTGAATTGTATTTTCTATGGTGGGCTTTGCTCAACAATGCAGTATGTCATTCATTTAAGTATAGGTGTTGACAAATTACTGCACCCATGTTATGAGCTTTACAGTTCTAAGTGGTTTGAACTTATTTCAAGGGTTTTGAAACTAAGTAAAGATCTTGTTAGGCTGCCAATTATGATCTATGAATTTCAATGATGATAAGAAAAGCCACTATGGGGAGAATCTGGTATTCCACAGGTTGGTACATACTTGATCATCTAGAAATCATGAAGAAATAACCATTATTCCTACATACCGTCATTGTCTGCCGTCCTGAGGATCCGATCTGATCTTTGGGAGTACAAAGCTTCCAATAGGTAGGATGTAATGTGATGTGTTCTTTAGTCTGGAAACTCTATTTAAGCCTTCCGAGTAGATATACCCTCCCCGTTGGAAGCAAGAATGGAGCATTCTAAAGGGACTTCTTGTCAAGGACGTAGAGATTTGGAACATCTGACATCTCCTGGAAAAGGGGGAGGATGCTGCCTTCAGGAGAAGTCATCCAGGATTCTGACATATACACTTACAGCTTTAAATGAATGCTAATGAATGCATTAATTAGTAGCAATGAAGATATTGCCCTAATGTTGCAAGACTGAGATTCAATGAAGATGTAACATGTAGACAAACCTATCTTGGCAACCTGGCCACTGAATTCTGCAGTAGTAATCTGGGAAGGATGTCTTAACTATAGATTAGTGGGCATTACCCACACGATCCCCACTTCAGTTGAACTGGCTCAGAAAAAAATAGATATCTTTTCCCCCAAAGCAGAAATAATTTGGTTGGTTATTAGGTCAAGTTATCTGAAAATGAGCCCAACTCTCCCCAAAATCCTCCTTCCCTTTTGTTCCCCTAATTCCAAGACATCTTTGTCTCCTGTTAATTCCTTATCAACCAAGGCAATGAAAGAAATGTTGCATAAGCATGGGGGGAAATGAAATTTGTCTCATTCACATCCTTTGGTAGTGCTATGCTCACAGCGTAACAGGATGAAAGACAGATCCACATGAGAGGTGGACTCTAGGAAAACTACATCTCTTACACAACAAAGGTAGACACCATAGCAGAAGACCAGTGTGTTTTCAAGAGGATGGAGGGACAATAAAAGGGACATTGTCTCTCAACTAAGATTATAAACTGAGCTCCAGAAGATTTAGGAGCTCTTTTTGAGATGTACTTTACAGGCCTCCAAAACCTGGACCGCAGCTTGGTATCTTCATATTGGGCAACATGGATCAAATTTCAGCTCTTGAAATTTGTAGAAGTGTTTTAACTATTTTGATACCCTCAATAGGAAGATAACCTCATTGAGATAAGGCAGCTTCTAAATGTTGTAATAAATGAGTCGGGAAGTTGTATCTGTACATACGCATTTTGGGAATGGTAGGAAGAACTTTATGAAAACTCCTGATTGTATAACATGTCAAAAAGAAATTAACATTGGGCTTTATCCATGCCTAATCATGCTTCTATTAAATCATGACTAATGTAGTCCTGATTGATTTCAGTTGATTTACTCTACATATGACTAAGATCGTTTCCTTCCTGTTCCTTTAGATAAATGCTGTCAAAAAGCATTAGTCAGATACATACCATTTCCCATTAATATTAATATGGACAAGACATTAGCTTTGTCATTTAATCAATGATTCTGAAATCAATGTTGGGAAGAGAAGATCACCAAAACAGCAGGGGCCCCTTGTTAAAGCAAACTATTGCACACATTTTGTTCTGATTGAAAGCCTGGGAAAGGGCAACATCCATCTACTTGACATGGCTTGTCATAATACCCAAAGGGCATAAGATGACTTTTGGGGTGAATTTCTTTCTTTCCGATTTTGAATACATTGGCTGCTCCAAAGAACCCCAAACCTTTTCACAAAGAAACTCCGAGCTAGATTGTTACATTGAACTAGACCGTCTTGTTGACTGCTGTGGGGCAAATGTGTTGTGTGAATTCATAAACCATGGACTGGGTTGCAAACAGATAAACGGCATCCTGATACCCTCAGCCATTTTAAGAAGCCTGTTTATTTTGAATGTTTAAAAAAAATAATTTAATATTTTCATTTCAAGAAAGAAGGCATGTAAACCCCACCACACAGCAATACACTATCATGTAATATCTGTACCTCTCAAGTCTGAGTCCTTAAAGAAGGTGCGCTGTAGATACCATTTGGTATAGATCTCTTCCTGCAACACCACTGAGTGCCAGGATCTCCTAAAGCTAACCCACTGTATCAAATCACCTAAAGCAGGGTTCCTCAACCTTGGCAACTTGAAGATGTGTGGACTTCAATGCCCAGAATTCCCCAGCCAGCCATACGTGGAGTTGAAGTCCACACATCTTCAAGTCGCCAAGGTTGAGGAACCCTGATCTAAAGTACAATGGTTCATGATTTCAATCTCTGGTAGAGGGTTTGAACCTTACAGAAAAGATCTGGCTATGTACATTTAACAAGTCCCAATAAAGATGACACCAATCACATATTGACCCTGGTGGTCACTATAACTTAAAAGATACATCACTAATTGTGCCTCCTCTGTTGACATACCTGCTTTATGGACTTTCATCCCCCTGATATTTGGGTGGCCTCAACCGTGTTAGCCTTCTGTAGGATCCCTGGCTTTTCCCTTAGGCCTTGGGGCAGGATATTACTTGACAGTTGTATAAGGTGTTTTTTTTTTTTTTTTATGGGTTACATGAGTCTCAGTCAGATGTACAGTTTATATATGGTTTGGGTTACAGATATTTAAATCATTGCTTTTACTCTGTGTTGTGGTATTAACCTGTTTTACGGGGTTTTTTTAGCTGCACAGAGTCACTACGTTGAGATGGGCAGTCATATAAATCATTCAAATAAATAATAAAAAATTGTGTGGTAAAAGAAAACTGACATACATTATAAAAGTTAAACTGAAACTAAAAGAAAGAAATAGGTAAAAGCTGCTTGGATTGCAAATGGAATAAATCCATAAAAGTAAAACAAATAGAGAAAAAACATGAGATCCCTGCAGAATCAATATAATATTACTTCAATCCTGAAACTTATAAATCTAGACAATGTAGAAATATAACACAGAGAGCAGCAGTACATTGATTGAGGATACAAGTTGGAATTGGACCTAACTGTAGCATTTATTTAATTTATGTGGCTGTCCCTCTCAAATACACGACTCTGAGCAGCTTACAATACTTAAGATAAAAACAACACAACAAAGTTATAAATAGCATATATAGCAACTGAGAAAGTCAACTAACCACAACAATTAACATATCCACAATAAAGGATACACATCCGAGGCTACAGGCTCGATGACAAAACCAGGTCTTCAGGGCCTTACAAAAGTAGTTGTTGTTCTTAGTATTTGTCCCACTGAGTTGCAGGTTCTGCTCATTTTGTGCCCTGTGTTTGCCTAGCTCTTTACACAAAGTTACCAACATGCGATGTGACAAGGGGCTCTTGTTTATCAGCTTGCTTATTACAGAGCCTGATGTGGGTTAGGAAAGAGAGGGAGGGGGTGGCCCAAAGTCACCCATAAGCTTCCAACCCTGAGGAAGGAGGAGAACCTTGGTCTCCCTGCTCCTATTCCAGCACCTTCACCACAACCCCATCCTGGCTCTTGGGCTGAGAGAGAGGGATGGGCCCAGAGATATCCAATGATATTCTATGGCTAAAGGTAGACCACAACTTGAGTCATTCCTCTCTGGTCCAGCACCTACTCCATAACCAACTCTCATAGATCTGATGTAGTAATTTATTAATCAGATTTTTAACATGCCCCCTCATTAAAAAACTTGGGGAAAAACTGATCAACACAGCTGAGGAATTTCCAGAAGTCTTGCTTCAATTTTCATCCCATAGGTTCAGAGAACAAATTTCATTTTATCTTCATTTAAAATATTCCACTCCATTTGGTCTTAGATTCTGTTGCCCCAACCCAGCAATTTTCTTACAGTCAGAAGAAATCTGGGATGAAGGAGGAGCTTCTGAAACTGGAGAAAATCCAGCCACCCGTCCATCCCCACCAGTAGTCTGACTTACAACGTTTCTACCTATTTAAGACCAAAGTGCATCTGAAAAGATCCTAGTTCCTGATTTATGGAGGAAAACTTCTAGAAGAAACTCAACAAAAGCAGCAGCTATCAGGAAAAAAAAGTAGGATGAGATGCTGAAACCGAATCAAAGTGGTCCCAGCAGAAGACTTGGGGTGTACACACCTGTGGGTAAATCCAAGATGTGAACCCTTCCATTCAGTGGAACTCCAGATAAATGCCTGTCCTGTTGTTTTCTGTTCAAAATCCTTCTGCAGTGGTCATCTTCTCAAGGCCAGACCAGGATTTGATCTTCTCTGTGATCTCAGGAAACATGAGGTATAAAGAGTTGTTCTCATCAAAGGTTCAGTGACATCAGGGACATTTTCTTTCTATCCATGTGGCCTCATCTCTGGAATTAGTCATGAAATGAGCATTGGACATGAATGCTTGAACACCCAGCCTACCTCAGGTTCAACAGACCCATCCATTTCTTGGAGAAGCAGAGTTTTTATCTCACTTTGAGGAAACATCAGGTGGCCTCGCTGATATGTAATTTTGGGACACCCTGATCAAATTGATCAGAGCAATCAAACACTTTAAGGATGAGCAATCAACCAGATTACTGTAGGAAGCAGAGTTGAAATCTGGAACAAACCAAAGCAATTTAAATTTCTACCTGAAAGCACTTAAAAGATCTGGAGGTCAATCATTTCTTGCCATCACAGCTGAAAGATATCTCAAGAGAAACTGTGAATAGGTCCACCCCAATTGTGATTGTACAACAGACCAAACTTTGAATTGGCTTACCGCATCAACCCTGCCTGCATTGGATCCCACACAGACAGAGCCATTAGCTCACTACATTTTAGCCTAGAGCACTGGACAAACAAAGTCATGATGCTAAGGCACATTTGCTTGCTGATTAAGTCATAAGAAGCAGGTTCACACAATATCTTAAGCCATAAACTATTGTTTAGAAAACACAATGTCCAAGTTGGCTAAGCTACAAATCACCATTTTGACTTAGCATGACAGGTGCAACAGGGCATAGTCTGAGTGTGTGCCTATCCACTGACAACATAACAGAAAAATTATCTCATTTCTGCAATGTCTTCTTTGCTTTCCACAAGCCTTCTCAGAAGCAGAAAACCAACAGGTGAAGCATTTCCCGAGCAGTGATGCCAAATGCCTCCTTGACTGATTTCTAGGCAGTAAAAAGCACAGGGGAATGTGCCTGGAAAAAAATGATTGTCTAATTTTGTTTCCTAGCTAGTTCTGTAATAATTAATTTAAGCACCAGGATCCCACTGCAAGGCTAGCTTCAGCATCAATGCAAAGGTAATTTAAATAGACCACTATTCTAGCTCAAAAAGCTACAAAAATCTTTCCCCTTTTGCGAGAGAAGCAGTAGGTTTATTGTTTCTCTGTCACCACCCCATGGCCCCTAAGCATTCAACAGCTGTATGGCAGGCAGATATTCCACTGATGTAGTTTTTCCCCTCACCTGAAAAATCAAACAGTGGATCCTCGTAGCTCGCCTTACAGATATTAATAGCAACAGAAAAGTGTATACAGGGAATAGTTGTAGGCTAGATTTACATGTCACACCCAACAATGATCTCCTTAAATGTAGTTTATTTATTTAATTTCTATAGCCACCTGCCTCTGGGCGGCGAACAATTTTAAAACAATAAAAACAATTAAAAACAATACAGCAGCTGCGAAAATTATAATCATAGTTTCAATATAGCCAAATTTATTTATTTATTTTCTCCCCTGCCCATCCATGTAAATAAAATAAATAAATAAAATAGCCAAGTTTACTAAATAAACCACAGTTAGCTAGGTTTGCACAACACCCTCTTCCAAACCAAACCATTGAAGAAGATGCAAGAACCTGGTTGTCTTAAAGAAAAACTCTGTTTAGAAAAAAAACGTGTAATGGTGGTTTGTTAGGGTTGGGCACACTAGAACATCTCAGGCAATCGGAATGAAACCACACTCTTCCCAGTCATTCTGTTGAATAATCCAGATTACTCCAAGTTACACAAAAACAATAATATAAATGGGTTCATTGTCCTTTTCAAATGCTCCCTTTCTGACAGAATATCCCCCCTGGAAGGAAGGAGAAATGCAGTTTAAAAAAGAAGGAAATGGTGGCTAATTAAGAGGCCAGCATAGCACAGGTGTTTTTGGTCACATGACTCTTTCTTTAGCCCCACCCCCAGAACTCTAGCAGGAGAGAGAAATAAGGTTGATTTTCTCTTTTGAGAGGTTGCTGTGGCTCTGGGGGGATTGTTTGGGGTCTGTGGGTTATTGCTTAAGAAAGAAAATGATAAAGGGGCTCCATTGTATGTTCCTGGGGATATAACATTGAGAGAATGTCAAAATTCTCATTTTTATGCTGTGTTTCTTACAGCTAAAGCCAACGTTGGTCTTTCTATGCAGGAAAGTTAGCAGAGTTGTGCCAAGAAATACTGGTGGAATATTTGTTTTTAAAAAGTGCATTGCTGCGATTGTACCCTTGGTGTGATCTTTGAGGATAGCTGTTCAAAATTTGCAAGGAGATTCCTTTTTTATTTGCCTGTATGTTTTGGGTCCTAATTCCTGGTAAATCACTCCGGATTGTCCCTGTTTTGGGGAGAAGGTTGAAATGTTCGTTGTGTATGTCAGTGCAAAAAGCTGTCAATCTTGTTCGTTATTTGAAGTGGTTTTCTGCATTTCTGCCAAAGAATACTGAATTGGGCTTCCTTTCAGATTCTCCAGAAATAAAATTTCTGGGCAGGAAATTCTAGTTTTTCCTAAGTGGGAAATCCAGCCCGTGTGTGTAGCAGGTTTGGCCTACATTTTGGAGTAAATGAAATAAATTCTAGTTTTTCCTAAGTGGGAAATCCAGCCCGTGTGTGTAGCAGGTTTGGCCTACATTTTGGAGTAAATGAAATAAAGATACCTTCTAAAGCTGTGGTCTTCAACCTTTGGGGTCTTCTCCCACTCCACACAATATTGGAGAACCTGAGCCATACCGACATAAAAACAAAGCCAGCATTTTTCAAGATGGACAGTTATATGCTTATGGGGGTTCTATTACTATATTTATGATTTGCAGTTTTAATTGATGAACGTTTCAATGACTGTCTCATCTAGAATACTTATGAGTGCCAGCTGTGATTTTGTGTTCCTCTGATTTTTAAATTCTCCAGGGCTCTTCCCAACTGAGATGCCTTCAAATGTGCTGGATTAAAGTTCCCACCATCTCTGATCTGTAGGACCATATTTGGAAATAATAGGCGTTGTAATCTAATATGGTGTTTCTCAACCTCAGCAACTTTCAGATGGGTGGACTGGCGTGCTGGCTGGGGAATTCTGGGAGTTGAAGTCCATACCTCTTGGTTGCTGAGGTTGAGAAACAGTGATTTAATATATTGGGTAGGTACCAAGTAGGGGAAGGGTAAACTTAAGTGATGAGTCCAGAGTCTAAAATACTTAATCGTTGATAGGCAACGTAGCTTCTTTTGAATAACATTGTGCGCAAATGTGCTAATGCTCTGCCAAAATTTACCTTGCGCTTTCTCAGTTTTATTCTTCTGCAAAAGGAATACTTTGCAAATCTGTTTTTTCGTGTTATCGAGCGGTGGTTTGGCAGCGACCTGAGTGGAAAACGGAGTCGGCTGCGAGTTTTGTTGATTTAGTTATTAAACGCATTTCTGTGCCGCTGCAGTCAAAAGCAACTCTCGGTTTGCATGGTGTTTTTGTTGCACTGAGGGTAAACTTTGTGCCTCCAGACAATTCCCTTCATATTCATCAAGCTCCTTCCCTTTTTTAAAAAAAAATTGTTTTATAAAGCAATTAATTAGGAAGTTGGCATGCTGCAAAACAAAGCACCAGTCTCTAACATCATATTTCTTTATAGGGATGCCTTTGAACTGCAGGAAGGGCCAACTAGCGTGATTGGAAACATCGTGGGAAGGTGTTGTTCAGCTTATGGTAAAGGGCAGCCATTTTGGCTCTCAAAAGCAGTATTGTATCCCTGGTACTAAAATGTGCCCTTGGTTATTCTTCTACAGGTAGTCATCGTTTAGCATTTGTCTTGTTTAACGACACTGTTCCCACTTAGGACAGTGATGAAAAGGTAACTTTAGGGCCAATTCTCATATTTACGACCTTTGCAGGTCTGTAAAGCAAAGGAAAGCTGAAGTAAGATCAAAAGCACAATTGCGGTTTCACTTAGCGACCACTTTGCTTAACAACTGAGTTGCCGGTCCCAATTGTGGTTTCTAAACGAAGGCTACCTGTATAGGCTGTGGACTTCAACTCCCAGAATTCCCCAGCCAGCATGAATTCTGGTAATTGTAGTCCACACATCTTAAAGTTGCCAAGGTTGAGAAACATTGCTCTAAAGCCATCTTGACCTCTGGCACATCTCAACCAGTAAAACCCAATGGGGTGTCTTCTCTTGGGGTTTCGCATCAGGAAAGCAGGATATTCAATCTCACCTATGTATTCTTGGCCACCCCTGTCAATCACTCTGTAAAAGGGCAGGACGCCCAATTCTATCCATGAGTGTTTCATCCAACTGAATGCAAACTGGCTCCCGAGGCATTCCTATGGGATGGGCACAGGGGGCAAGGAGGAGGCCAATGACCAGAGCTCCGCCCTGTTGTGCATGTGTTGTGGTGTTGCATGGATGTCTAAAATGGGTGATGGTTGCATCGGAGTGGTGTGATGCTGTTTTTTGTGATTTTGACAAAAGTTGCAGATCTTACAGATGCCTTGCTGGGTGCTAATTTGTTTCTGCTGTACATCTCTCCTTTATTTGTGAAACAGAGGATGCAATAGTAAGGAATCTGAAAGACCCCATAAGTCTTGAGGTTTATGGAAAAAATGATGGGATATAAGTTGACATAATGAGAGGGGGGCCTGACAAATTTCTGGCTAAATTATCCTGTTCCTATGGTACACTGAAACTGAAAAATGATTAAAATAGCAATTCATCCCATTCTTTTAAAATTAACTTTGAGTATTCTTGAACTCCAAAGTTGGATAAATGAGGCATATTTGAAGATTCAGTTTACCATTTTTGAATTTATATCTCCCCTTTTGAAAGGTAACATCCCAGACAAGGGGCAGAATGTCTTCCAAAGATAGTTGTGGGAAACGCCATCATCCCGTAGACAGCCTTTGCCGGAAGCTCCAAGCCATCAATATGATGGACCAAGCTTCAAATCCTGCCTTGCAGATTCCAAAATTCCAATCCAAGAACTTCGACAGTCCACAGAGTAACACAAAGAAGAACCTGGAGGAAATCTTGAAGAAAAGGACACTGAAAAGTAGTGACAGCCACAGTCCCTTGGGCACCAACCTCTCCTTGCTAAGTCCTTCCAGTGACAATCTGTTCTCGCCGGGCCCCGTGATGATGCGGACACCACGTCATCGACGCATTTCTGATATTCGCTCCGAGTCCTTTTCACTGGATGGGAATAAAGAGAAGCTCAGTAAATCTTGGGTCTTGGTAAATCAGAGAGGGAACAGTTCACCACATTTCATTAAGCATGAGTCAACCTCTGATTATCTTTGTGGCAAATCTAATATTGAGCCAAAGGTCATATCACCTCTGGAATGCAACTATTTCACATCAAGTCCTGATTTATCTAACAGGGGACCAAAATCTGTACAGCCTACTTTTCATTCTCCTCCAGCCAAAAGATTCTCCTTAGGTAAGGACTGAGGAAAGATGCAGAGGCTGATTTTATATTTTACTTCTGCTTTTGCTTTTTATTATGTATCCTGCATTTTTATAGTGTTACTTGGGCCAGTTTGTGGAAACTAACTATGTGGTGGTGGTCCACAAAGACAAAATATTTTTTCATCTGATCACAGATGTAAGAAATCTACAAGCTGAACAGAAGGAAGGAAAAGATGGGCTTGTGAAGAGCTGAATTTGAAAAGCAGCTTTGTTTGGCTTCAAAATTCAAAAACATTTATTTTAGATAAATATACATGGCGTAGAAAATGAGCAGGAAAGCTGGTTTACAAACAATTCCCCTAGCTATATGTGGAAAAACAAACCAGCTTCCGGTGTTCTTTCTCTTCATAGGATGGAGGCTGGCAACGGACAACAGAGACAACGAAGGCTCTGACATAAGTCTGATTTGTGAGGAAGACCTGTTGACGACTATGTTTTCTGCATGTGATGTGGAAAGAAGAGGTAACAGTTGGACAGTTTCAAAAACAATTTGGGAGGCTACATATACTTGACGTGTAGGCAGGCTAAAGCTCAGAAGGGCAAATACATAATTGGCATGTAGGAAATCCTAGATTTTCTCTCCCCATAAACTTGGATAGGCTTAGAAAAGATTCCAGTCAGAAATCCTCTGGAGCTAATGCTACTTAATGCTAACAATTCAGATACAGAATGGTCTAACAGCTTCCAGTGTTCCTGTTGGACTCTTACATTTAAACCACAGAGCTGCTTTTCTCTCTGGATTAAACTAAATGTTGTGGGACTCTATGTATCTGCCTGTGGAGGTAGGCCAGGTCAAGAAACAGATGCTACAAGAAATACTAGGACTCTGTTTTTTTGGTATAGGCTCTAATAGCAGAATCTGGGAAGCCTGACAGCATTTCCCCTTTCTTCCCTCTTATACCACAGAGAACCAAGGCTGGGCAATCTTGAATTTCTTTCTCACACTTTCTTGTTTCCCTGGGCTAAGTTCATGTTACTGATGGTCACTGTGTATTTTCTCCAAGGTCATCTCTGCATGCCTTTACAATGCAATTAGCTTCCTGTCTTTACTGATTTAATTGAAAAGCACACAGGGGGTCAATTTGGATCACAACCACTACATCCAAACAGCAGGACGTTGTCTAGTCTCCCAACATCCAACCCTATATTTAAAGATACACCAACAAAATTCTCATCCTTTTATATGGGTGGGGTTTCTTTTCTTTTTAAAAATTCTATTGTCACCAATCAAATTTTTGTTAAATACTGCTTCCTCATGGAAGTATTAAAACAACAACAAGGAGGAGGTGGAGAAATCAGCCTGGCCCCAGTCTCAGTATCCTAGAAATTGTTATCCAGCCCATTTAGAGGAGCCCAATTTGGGAAAACTACATTATGCTTGCTAAACATGCTAACCCTGACATTTCATCATCGGTCAGGGGAAAAATAAGATCCTAGCCCTCTTGCTAAGAATGTTGAAAAAGGCTCTAAAACCAAAGTAGGATGGATTGTTCTTTTTGGCTCCTTTGAAATAGAAAATCGGCATCCTTGATATTTCAGCTGCTGATGTATGTTCTGCCTCTCTGTACATCAGAATGAAAAAACGGCTCTCCCATTGGTCGTCTGCCATCAAAGACCAGCATGAAGGGATGGCATTCTGCTCTACAGCCTGGTCCAATTTAGAGATGGGCAAAAGATTTCAAGTTCAAAACACCCTATTTGAAATAGGTTGTTCCTACTTTATTGGAAGTGTTTTGAGCTTGGAGCCGCTCTGTCTCAAGTTTGGAGGAAGAGTTGGGAGCTCGCACTGGGGCTGTTTCAACTTAGAACCCATCCAGAATGGTTGGGACAGCACTGGACAGCTTCCAGTAAGGTTGGAATAGAATTATGGCAATTTGAAATAAAGCATTTTGAGCTTAGGATGCAGTATGTATTGCCACTACTGAGGGTTTTTTCTTTTTGGATAGAGCCAAGCTATCTGTTTTTTCCCCCAGAAATTTAATTTGATAGGTTAAGTGTAACTTTTGCATCTAACAGGGATTGTATGGGTGGGCAATTTTTTAGTGCCTGAGAGCATCTGTTCTGCTGTGGTTTTTGGTTTGTTTTTTCCCATTTGAGGGCTGAATGCCATCATAGAGAGTTGAGCAATGCTATAATAGGGAGGCTTAGAAGATCTTTTAAAAATAGTAAAGCAACATTGACAACCCCAGTGCAACACATTCAAAGTATTATTGAAAACCAAATGCAGGAAAATAGAGTACAGTATAGACTTCAGAATGGCTGAGTCTCTACTATGCCACATTTTAGCAGCAAACCTTGTGGCTGAAATCTGTCAGCTTGCCTTAGAGCAGTGTTGTCCAAACTTGGCCACTTTAAGATGAGTGGACTTCAACTCCCAGAATTCCCCAGCCAGCATGAATTCTGGGAGTTGAAGT